GAAAGGAGGCAGTGGTGTTTGATATCATATTTCGTCTTATTGTAAATACAGGTCTGGGGGGAAAAAAGTTCCTGGGACATATTGTTCCAGGTAATTTCGGTGGAAAAGCGGCTTTTGTTGCATTTACATGTTTTGGCCAGTAGGTTTTTAAATAAAAATAATTTTCAGTCTTACACAACCATGTCGGGTCCAAACTATATTTCTCAATGAGAGCAGACCTTTACCGATCAATCTTTTCTGATATACACCGGCACAGTTGTGAGTCACACATGTGGGTGTAAGCCGAATGCCCTTGACTCTGTCTGCTTTCACTGCTCATTCTTTTCTGGTGTTCTGCTCTCGCTCTTTCTTCAGAGACGTTTCTGTGTGGTTTACAGTGCTATGTTAGGTAAGTGCAGTGTTTCAGCATGACAACAGCACAGAGGATGGGGGTTGTGTGTGTCAGGGGTCAGGGGTCGCCTCAATTAAATATATCACGTCTTGTCAACAAACATTGCACCACATCGCACACGTCTGCAGTGTGCACAGAATGCAGTCTTCACGCACACACAAACTGACAAGAGGAAATAATTGCACTGACAATCAAAACACAATCAAGCTGCGACAACTAGACACTCCTGTCACCCTGAGAAGCGACTGCACTGTCATATAACTTAATACCATGAAACCCCGAGTGCTAAGCCGGTCACCAATTCACCATACTGTTTCCCTATGCCGATAATGAAATCATCACCCTGGCAACCAGTGCTGTTACCATGACAACCCAGAGCCGAAGCGGTTTCACAACCAGTCATCACGGGTTTCTGGCAGATATCACACTCAACCGATGACTTTTAAAACTCATAATTATCAGAGACAAAGACTGACAGAAATGGGAATGCCCTATGGAGTGTGATTGAAAGGCTGCTGTAACTAGTCATAAAATCCCACAATCCTTTTGCCTGGAAGCGAGTTGAGACACTTGTTCTCGAATATCCTGATCACTAAATCTCTCTTCATCAGAAGAAAACAGTATAACTAAGTATCATTTATTTAACTACAGTCTACTGACTTTTTAGTCTTTCATATCTAAACCTTTATGAATATTCAGGAAACTATAGAAGCTTGTTTCCCCAGAGGTGGACAGTAGTGAAGTATTTTTACTTTACTCAAGTAAATGTAAAAAGTAGCTGTACTTTATCAGAGGGGTTTTCTTTGGAAAACTTTTACATCACTACATTCCAAAGCACAATGTCGTACTTTTTACTGCACTACATTTCATAAATAAAAGTTTTTTTTACCGTTAGTACTTAAGAACATTAAAAATGTAGTACTTTCTTGTACTCAAGTAAAACTTTTACTTGAGGAAAAAATAAGAAAGTATTAGATTTGTAATGTAATTAATTATTAAATGATATTTATTATGAAACGTAGTGCAGTAAAAAGTACAATTTTATGCTTTGGATTGTTGTGAAGTAAAAGTTTTCTATAGAAAAACACTCTTATTAAGTACATACACTTGAAAAACGTACTTTTAAAGCAGAGTAAAAATGCTTCACTACTGTCTGCCAATCCACTAAGCAGTAAACAAAAATAAAAAGGTAAATGCAATTTCTTATTTCATGATTCAGATTTTTCTCTCAGAGTAGTCTCACAACTACAAGTTACAGACTCGCACTAAGGCTCTTCTTCTCAGAATTGCAAGAAAAAAGTCTGAATTGTAAGATATAAACTCAGAATAGTTAGTATGAATTGTGAGAAAAATGTTGAGATAAAAGCTAAAAAAATTGCAAGTTAAAGTCAAAACTGAAAAACTGTGAGATAAAAAAAAGATTTGGGAGGAAAAAAGGCAAAACTTTAAAAAAAAAAAAAAAAGAATGTGAAATATAAAAGTAAAAATTGCGCAAAGAAGTATGAATTGTCTATGGAAGCCCGTTTCCGCCACTGAATAAAAAATAAAAGAAGTAATTGCGACTTTTTTTCTCAAAATTGCGTGATACAAACTCGCAATTCTGACTTTTTTTCTCAGAATTGCGTGATATAAACTCGCAATTGCGAGACATAAAGTCGCAATTCTGAGAAATAAAATCAGAACAGTGAGATATAAACTCACAATTCTGGCTTTTTTTTTCTCGCAATTGCGACTTATAAAGTCAGAATTTTGAGATATAAACTCGCAATTCTGAGAACATATCAGTCTTTTTCCCCCCCTCAAAATTAGACTTTAACTCGCAATTGCAAGTTTATATCACGCAATTCTGACTTAAAAGGGGTCATATGGTGCGATTTAAATTTTTCCTTTCATAAACACATTTCATTACACCAAATACACAAAATAATGTTCTTTTTAGCAGCATCATATGACCCCTTTAACTCGCAATTGCGAGAATTGTGAGATAAAAAGTCGCAATTATCTCTTTTATTTTTTATTCAGTGGCGGAAACGGGCTTCCATAATTGTCAGATAAAAATTCTAAATTGTAAGAAAAAAAATCAAAACTGCAAAAAATTTTGAATTGTGAAATAAAAAGTCACATTTAAAAAAAAAAAGTCATAAACCTTTCTATTTTTTTTTTATCCATGGTGGAAGTAAGCTTAGGAAATGATTTCCAAAAGAACAAGCTTCCATTCATGCATGATAATAGTCTTTTAAAGCACCTTAATTAGCAAATAACATTTACACTCAATATTTTGTGCTTTGCATTCAGATTTTTTTGCATTCTTTTGCAAAATAATCACTTAAAGTTTGTTTTTCCATAGCAGAATTACTCTTATGCTTGTCGGGGGTAATCGTAAAGAAACTGTACCATATGGTCAAGAAATATGATGTGAGAAAGTGCAAACCATTATTTTTGTACTCGGGGAGAAAAGGTCACAGTGTAACAAAGTGCAGGGACAAAGACACTTTTTAAAAACTGCATGGATTTTGAAAGCGCACTATTTTATTTTTAACAACAGCAAAATGTACAAATAATAAACTTTTTATTCAATATAACCTAATTAAATGTAATGATTTTACACTCGTTTAAAATTATTTAATTGCATTGCACACTAATAAGAGTAAATCTAGTACAGTATAATGTGACTAAGTTCAGTAAAAAAAAAAAAATAATTATATCAGTAGCAAGTCATAAGAACGCACTTGGCATGCAAATGGGACTGCTTCCTGTGGTAATGGCAATGTGCCTTCATGAAATGATTAATATCAGCCACAATTACTGCTTACAATCCTCCTGATACATCTAAACCACACAAACCTTTAAAAAATGAGAGCCCTGCAGAGTCACACTTTCTCATTTGAATCCATAGAACATAAAATTACTGTTTGAGACTGTTTCCAATGCAGTATATTTATGTTTTTCACTAGAATCTTTTTCATATATGTCTTTTTCTGTCATGAATGTACTCACTTCTCTGATGTCATTATGTTGCTCTTTTCCTGCTGTCAAACTGTGTGCCACTGATTGTCTTTATTCTCTTGTTCTCTGCAGCACATCATGTACGAGACAGAGCCTCACTCATCTTGAGGTTTATTTGTGTGTGTGACTGACAGAGAGGGGGGGGGGATTGTTTGTGTGATATGTAGGTATGCACTGCAGGTTAGTGCTGACAGTGAATGATGCACAACATGTAAATGTTATCGTAGAGGAGGGAAAATAGCTCTTCTTCTGACATGTGAATCATCACACACACGTCTTTCATTCTTGCAGAAGACAAATGTTCACAGTAGGAACAAACCATAACACACTCACTGTCACACAAACACATAAATTACATCACACGCTTTATGACAGGCCTAGTCTTTATTTTTACATGGTGCTCTGGAACAGTGTTATTTTGGTAACACTGATATACTACTATAGTTTTTGCTAATATTTTGATTTAGCAATTTTGAATTAATGTTTTCATGTAAATTTTAGTTTAGTTGTAGTTATTTTGTTGTGTTTTGTGTTTTTTTTATTCGGTTTTTTTTTTGTTTTAATTATTAATTTTCATTACTTCCCTGGTTGTAAAAAAGGGAAATAAACAAAAATTAATAATAAAAAAAACAAAAACAAAATATGATAAAAACAACATGATTTTGTTGTGTTTATGTTAGGCTGTTTCCTCTAAAAAGCTGTTTATTCAGCGTAGTGAAGCCTCTCCTCCATTGACATCCATAAAAAAAAAAAAACGGCCTCTGGTCTCATTTATGTTAGCATTAGCTGTTACGCTATTTTAGCTAAAGGTTGCAGGCTTGCCTTCTTGTGGCTTTGGTACGGCTATTCACTGTAATTACGACAGTTATATATTTACCACAGTGAATTCCACTCACTTACTGCAAGCAAAAATAGACCAAACTGCATGCAGTTGCTTTAAGTAATGTGAAGTTTGTTAGCAGATACAACTTTTGATTTGAAAATGTATTTGTAAATGTAAATATAAAATTTTACAACTTTTGATTTGAAATTTATTACTGAATGTAAAAATTAACATGAACAAAGATTAATAAATGCAGCTGAAGCATTGTTTTTGTTAGTTCATGCATGTTAACTGATGTAGGTAAATAATGTTAATAATGAAACCTTTTTGTAAAGTGCAAGCACGAAAGCACACTTTTCAGAAAATCCACTGGTAATACTATAAACAAATCTACTATATAGTCCCAATAGTATGTATAATGGCATTTATTTTGTATGTCTGAAATTTCTACGACTCGTTAATTTAAAATGTTCTTAGATCAGAACATAACGGTAGTTATGAAATGGGCCGAGGGAAATATAAGCAGTCTAGGAACAGCCTGTGTGTGAGTTGCTCTTGAGTAATGTATCCTGACATCATCCATTATTACTGTAGGTGAAGCTGGACATCTTTGCCCAGTGGAGACGGAGCTGTGTTAGGTTACCATTACCTGCCCGGTGTCAGCTTACTGCAGAAACAACGTCCAGGTGAGCAGCACGCACTGGTTCATGCGCCAGAAAACTGAATAGGAATTCAAACTGATTTAGAAGAAAGGAAAGAAAGACAGCCTAAAGGGACATCATGAAGGTATAAGTAAATATTTGTCCTCAGTTTCTATCATCCTTCCTCTCCATGAGTGCTAATGTCCTATTTGCTCTGTTGTAGAATATTCTGGGGCCAGTTGCATTAGTCACCATGTTAAGACTTTGCCTTAAGAACTAGTTTGACTAACTAGCCTTAATTTTCGGATTTAAATTAGACCAATATACATTTTTATGTAACTGGTTTTAAAAAGTTATTACCAGTCTTGCAGAAACAAGTTAGGTGACTAACTTTTAAGACTAGTCTAATCAGTTTATGCATCTGGCCCCTGTCTTTATATCCAGCTTATGTCGTGTTTTGGAGAGGTGGTTAACTGCTTAACTAGCAGAACCAGCAAGACTTCCTTGGTCTACAGCATCAGAAATCATGCTGATTAACCTACTAGATTTTCCTTGCCAATGCTGGTTTGCCAGCTAAGCACAAAACCAGAATAAACCGTTTTCATGCTGCACGGTCCTTTTAGCAAAGATTTATCAGTATGTGTTTGATTTGAAAAAAAAAAAAAAAAGCAACTGCATTGCAACTGATTGTATCAGTGATGGTCATACTTTTTAGTGGCAACTAATAATAAAGATAAAACAAACACTTTTTGTTAAATGAAAATAAAAAATAACATAATTGGAAGAATGAAAATATTTTTTTAACCTTAAAAGCAACTAAAATAAAATAAAAATGAATTTCAAAATTTATGAACATTAAGGGTTTATAATTGCCTTGATTAAACTTTGAAATGTCACTACATACCAAAATAGCAAGAAAGCCTTGTGAAATGTAAATGTTGTTAAAACATATTTAAATCATAGCAGTTTTATCATGCATTACCACTTATAGCCCTAAAAAATTAAACTAAAATAAAAATACTATAAAATAAATATAGAGATAAATAAATGTACTGAAAAACTGGTATTAATCTAAAACCATCTAGCAACCACCCAAACAATCCTACCAACACCCTAGCGGTGTAATTTTAGTAAAATGTATATATTATTGTAGGTTTTTGTTAATACTTTGAATTAGATGTTATTTTTATATTCTCTTTTCAGCTTAATTTTACTAAACATTGAGTAATTTTGTTGTATGTTTTTGTCATTATTATTATTTTAAAAAACATATCTATAGTTTATTTATTTGTTTTAGTTCACTTAGTTTGTGTTATTTTTGTACTTAAAGTTAAACTAAATTGAAAAAAGAAATGTTGCCTTGGCAACTAGCTGAAATAAAGCAAGTTAAATTTTTTATATTTTAATTTATTTAAGTTCAACGTATCTTATTTCAAATAAAAATGTTTTTTTTATGACTTTTAACTATAAAAACTACTTAGTACACCTTAGCAACGGGATAACAACCCTAGCATGGTTTGCTATAACAAACACCTCTTGCATATTCTTCAGAGAATGCAAAAATCTTGTTGCTATAATTTGGTCACATTTCTTGTTCCCCTCTCTCAGATCTGTGTGTTCCGGCTGCAGACTCATCAATGGTGCTTCCTGTTGTGCAACGTCATCTTGTTTCACGCGCTGCTGTTTGGCGGCGACATAGTGGAAGAGTTTCTCCTGCAGTCGTCTCCCGCCGCTTACACCGACCGCTTTGTCCTGGAGGTCCGGGAGCGTGCACGTAAACTGGACCTGACTGAGACCAGGCTCAACACCTCACAGCTCTACCCCATTAACAGCGAACCCTGCCTACATCATCAGGACCTCCTCATCCTCACGCTGGTCCTGAGTTCCCCAGGAAACTCGAGCCAGAGGGAGGCGGTGCGAAACTCCTGGGCCAATCAGACGTCGGTGCACAGTGTTGCCGTGCGGACTTTGTTTTTCCTTGGCTCCTCCCATTTCGGGGCGGAGCTTGAGATGATGAGGGAGGAGTCTGCGCGCTACGGTGACATCGTGCAGTTCGTAGAGAGAGAGAGAGAGAGAGAGAGAGAGAGAGAGAGAGAGAGAGAGAGAGAGACTGGCAAAATAAACTAGGACGAAAGAGGATTCACATGCCCTGGAGACAGTCTGAAAGCGCTGATTGACAATAACAGATGACCGTGCGGACTTTGTTTTTCCTTGGCTCCTCCCATTTCGGGGCGGAGCTTGAGATGATGAGGGAGGAGTCTGCGCGCTACGGTGACATCGTGCAGTTCGAGGGAGGCGTTTCAAGGGGCAACTGGCAGAAAGGACACTGGAAACAAGTTAAAATGGCACTTCGATGGATTCTACTTTTTTGTCCACAAGCCCGATTTATCGTCCTTTCTGAGGATTCTGTGTATTTAAACCTTCCTGCGCTTACATCATACCTGCTAGGACTGAGAACGCACCCTGATGACCTTTACCTAGGCAGGGTCATCCATCGGGCCGCACCTGAGCGGGACCCCGACAAACCGCATTACCTGCCCTATCAGGTGTACCCTGAGAAGTACCTTCCAGACTACTGCTCTGGCCCCGCCTTTCTTCTGTCTCAAGACGTTGTGAGAAAAGTTTACGTCGCCGCTGAGGATGTATCGTTGCCCCTCCCCTCCGACGTCCTGATTGGCCTGTGTGCAAGACGGGCAGGTGTGGTGGCCACTCACAGCGCTCGGTTTTCTGGCGACCGACACATCCGCTATAACCCCTGCTGCTACAACTTCCTATTCAGCTCTGCTGGGATGGGGGTGGGGATGGTGGGCGTGGCCTGGCGGGATTTAGGGGCGGGGAAGGGGAGGAGCTGTGGCATGCTGGAGACTTATTACAGTTTGGTAGTGTGCAAAGCAATGACATACCTGGATCAACTTTCTTTTCTGAATAATGACAAATCACAGGGCTAGAACGGATGGGGATAGTTATGTGTATAAATTATTGTAAATATTCAGTTTATCAAAATATGCGAAGTATTATAATTCAACTGCTATATTAAAGCATATAGTGTTTCTGTTACTCTAAAAGGCCTTAAAGTCAACATATCAAATTTAAGAGGTAAGTTGGGGTAAGAGATTAATACGTATTTTAGCAAGGATGCATTAAATTGATCGAAAGTGACCGTAAAGACATGTCACAAATGAATTCTATTACAAATCATCGCTGTTATTTTGTACTTTCTTGAGCAGCAAATCAACAGATTGACAATAACAGATGAAACCGAAACAGGCACAAAGAAAGAGATTGAGAAAAAAAAAAAAAAGGAGCTTGTTCCAAAATCTAGTGAGCCTCCTACTTAGACTAGACAACAGCATATGCAGTGCCCTATGCAATGACTAAGATTACATATATATTTAACAGAGACGTCAATCCCAGAATGCATTGCGACAAGCTCTGTCACAAAAGCTGGCGGAGAATGCGGGCAAATCATAACTATAATCCATTCAGTGCCCAAATATATTGATAAAAACAGTGGACCATTTTAACCAATATGTGTGCATGCTACATATTTTTAAGCATAGTGCTTTGTTAGCTTAGCAATATGCTAATATGAAACACTACACTGTAAAAAAAAAAAAAAGTAGTTATAAATAATGCATATTATTGATCCTTTACATTACTTACATTTAAGTATGCTTTACAACAAACGAATACTCCAGTTTTTTCCTTAAATATTTCATGTTTAATTCAATGTGCCACTTGCTGTTTCTTTCCCTTGTGAAAATGATTTCTACACCCATTTTCCCCCCCAGTGTTTTAGACGTCAGATCTCTTGTGCACTTTGTATATTTGTTGCTGTCTATGTACTTTGTTTGAAATCAGTCACTTAAAAGGTTTCTTTTCAGTTAGTATGCTGCCTTAGAAGGTAACTACCTATGTAGGGCAGTTCACTAGATTTCGAACACACCCTTAGAAAGTGAGAGAATGTAAACATTAATAATTTAAGACCGTTAAAGGAAAAAAGCATGAAAAAAGAGAAAGCAGGTAGAGGATGTAAACATTAACAAGAATAAAAACAGAGAAAAGACAGACTGTAGACAGACATGAGACGAGAGAGGTAAAGATTATGTAAACATTAACAATGTAAGAAAGCCTTCCAGAGAGAAGAGTAGAGAAAGAGAGAAAGATTGTGTTGCAAAGGTCGCCAGAGTGGTAAAAACGATGCCAGTGAGAGGGTGGCCTTGGAAAACTAAGAGTGCAAACAGGACAGCGAATCAAAACCCATAATACTCCCACTCCGCTGCAGTGTCTGACCAATCAGCAAGCGAAATGTCAGTAAGGTCACAGCACCAAAGGGAGAAACACACACGAACACCAACCGCATGCGAAGCATTCCTGCAAACCAACTCAAACATGAGGTAAGAGTTTTAATCATTTTGTGTTATTTCTAAATAAATAAAATATGATTCCATTGCAAAAAAATGAAACTATACAAAATTAAATACGTACCCACGATATCTACAGTTAGTAATAAATTATGATTGTTAAATACTTAAGGCATTTCAACGGACATAACCCTGTGTAAACGATCAACACGAGCCATCATCCGCCAATCAGCACACAGAACACTGGGGGGGCGGAGCCAACGCTCAGGCAAAAATGCAGCTCATTGGCTGAAATGAATACAGCTTTGTTTTGAACCGAAATGGTTTTTAAAATTGACTTTTGGATCACAACGAAGCAAAACTGAACAAAAAATAAAAAGTATGCTTTATATAGAAGGCAATCTCAGAATGCATTTTGTATTCGAAAATTGGTGGAGAATGCGGGCAAAATCATATGATTTATGATTTTGTCTCACAATTCCGAGTTTATATATTGCAATTCTGACTTTTTTTCTCTGAATTCTGAGTTTACATCGGTTTACATTTTTTTGTTTGCTTCTGCAAGCAAAAAATAATAAAACAAGTAGCACTTTTTTCTCACAATTTTGACTTCATTTCCCGCAAGTTTTTTTCTCAGAGTTGTGAGAAAAATGTCTGAATTACGAGATAAAAAGCCGCAATTAATATATATATATTTTTTTTCCCATAGTGGAAACAAGCTTACATAGTTAACTACTTATATAGGGTAGATTGCTAGATTTTAAACACACCCTGAAACAGACCATGAGAGAAATTGTCAAATTTACAAATCAAGCAAAATTGAACCAGACATTTTGGGAAAAAACTATCCATATAAAAAGAATATCCTTGTTGCAAGTTGTTAAAATTAAACTTAAAAACAACTAAAGTGATTAATCCTATAAACAACTAAGGCCAGAAACATACGCATTGCATAATGTGCACTTTTGCAAACTTCAGTGCTCAAGAGGGCGCCAGTGTTCAAACTTCTGCACCATTAAACCGGATGTGCTATTGTTTGTGTAGCTAGCTGTAAACATGTCAACTTTAACTTGCTCAGCAAGATTCATGAAATTTGAGCTGAAACAGAAAACTACCTGCGTATGTTTCAGGCCAAATACGAATAATTCCGGCATCGCGCTCGTCTGTCTCGACCTGCTTGTGTGCTGTTGGCGGATGGTCCTCTATCACACGACATTCTACATTGTAGTTCTAGCAATACAGCATAGCAACCAGCATAGCAACCACGAGGGGAGACCCGTCACACAAGAACACCGTTGGACACACACAAGCCCTCCAAACACTGCATGTTTTAAATACCAATAATAAATACAGTAACCATGGCAGCGCAGCACCAGAGTAAGGCCGGGCACTTTAGCTATACTCACATGTGCTTTTTTCAGTAGGCATTTAGGGTCAAAGGTCATGGCAGGGTCTCTCTCACGCACACACACACGCTACATGAGTCTGATAATGTTACGGATCGTCACAGCTTAAAGGAGCTAATACACATCCATGCATTCGCGCACACACGCTTCCAGGTGTACCTTGAAACAACAACCCAAGCACAGATGCATGCAACTACTACTGCGCCTATCTACACGAATCCACCAATCACGATATTCTCCGCCTACTTTTTTTTTTGTAAGACAACAGCCCTCCTCCTGCTGTCTCGGAAATGAGTTGCTTTTGTGTTTTCGTATTTTTTTTTTCTTGTTGTTGCGTGTTCTTTTTTGGCTTCTCTACATGTACCATCGTGCACCGCTAACCCATGAAAATATTAACACACATACACGCACCAAAATGGTGAACAAGCGCACAAACGCACACACGCAAGCCGAAGTAGCTCCAGTGTGTAAGACTAAAGCAGTATTGCCGATCAGAAATACAGTGGACACACACTCCAGCAGCTAGATTTGACAGTGTCTTATCCGCCATCGTGTATATATTATATTTAGTGTGTAAGTGTGTGTGTGTGTGTGTGTGTGTGTGTGTGTATTGTATGCAAAGGGAGGGTCTTTAGTAAAGTTCATGGCTTAAGAAATTGCACAAATACACACACGTATGCTACAGACACACACCATTTCCCTACAGACAGAATCACTCCTCACGACAGACCCTTTTAGTTTCTACCAGCACGTGTGTGTGTGAGTGTGTGTGAGTGTGTAGTGTCAGTTATTGTCATTGGCTCAGTAAAGCGTGTAAGTGTGTGTTTAGTGTGTGTCGGATGGCTCATCATACACGTGTGTAGGTAATATACAGTGTGTGTGTGTGGATGGAAATGTCTGTGGATGTATAAGAGTGAAATAGAGCATGTGTGTGTGAGTTATTTGTTAATGCGTGTTATTTCGCCGGGTGTGTTTCAGCTCTCGGGGGTGAGCTGTGTTTGGATGTCCACTCTGCAGATGGGACACTTCCTACTGGTGGCCAGCCACTGATCCACACACGCCTGATGGAACAAATGCATACAGGGTAAACGCCTGAAAACAGAGAGAGAGAAAAAGTTTATTAGGATGAGTAGAACTGCATTAGCATATTGCTCTGTTCTTGTTGTGTTTAGTAGTGGGCATACTGTATTTTGCATTGTTATTGTTAAATAAAACTCAAGCTATTAAGAATAGTTTTTATTAATTAGAATTATTATTTTAATAATAAGAATAGTTTTTATTAATTAAAGTAAAAGATAAATATTAGATAAAAATGTAACAGCTTTTAGGTCAAATTTACTTTTTTTTCCCAAGAAAACAATATGCACATAAAAAGAATATTCCTTTGTAAATTGTTAAGATTATGGTTAAAAACAAAACTATTGAAAAAAAAAAAATGTTAGATGAAAAACTGAACTGGAAAAAGTTTAAACTGAAGTTGTAAAGTTGCTTAAAAGTGAAATATAAATGAATTAAAGCTAAAAGGAAATATATATATATATATATATATATATAAAAAGACAAATGTACATGACAAAATTACTAAAACTAAAATGAAAAACTGAAAGTACAAAAATAAAAGGCAATTCAAAATATCAAAAAATACTATAACAGTATATAAATATTAAAATATCAATGTTACTTTGTAGCATTTATAGTGTAGTTTAAGGACGCAAACTTTTGTACCTCCTGTGGTTTTAAGTTAATATTTCAATCCTTTTAAAACACATTTTCATGCAATTAATTATCTACTCATCAACTCCTGAACCTCCTGGTGTAATACTTTTGTTGAAAAGTTTGGGGTCAGTAAGATTTTAAAACTATTTTTAAATTAATTAATTTTTTTTTTCTTCAGGAAGGATGCAATAAATTGATTAAATGGGACAGAAAAGACATTTACAATGCCACAAAAAATTTATTTCAAATAAATTCTGTTATTTTGATCATGGTTTCCACAAAAGCATGAAGCAGCACAACTGTTTTCAACATTGATAATAATCAGAAATGTTATTTATGCAGAAAATCAGCATGTTAAGATGATTTCTGAAGGATCATGTGACTCTGAAAACTGGAGTAATGATGCTGAAAATTCAGCTTTGATCACAGGAATAAATTACATTTTACAATATATTCAATTGGAAAACAGTTATATTAAATTCTAATATTTCACAGTATTGCTGATTTTACTGTATTTTTGATCAAATAAATGTAGCCTTGGTGAGCAGAAGAGACTTTTTTCCAAAAACATTAAAATATAATCTTACTGACCCATACGACAGTGTATAGTTTCATCTGTCTTTATTATATACTACCTGACATCTTCTCCATCCTCCAGCATGGAGAGGCAAATGGTGCATTTCTCATCCATATCCAACTCTTCCTCACATAACTTCAGATCCAGCGGCTTCCGCTACACACACACACACACACACACACACACACACAAGTGTGTAAGCAGCAGAAAACTGTAGGTTGGACATGAAAATGAAAGAGTGAATGTGAACAGTGCGTGTATGTACCTTCTTGTATTTGTGGGGGAAGGTGAATCTCTCTATGGTGGTCTGTATGGCCCCTCGGCTGACGCTTCCCAGTCGATCCTCCAGCTGTAGCAGCTCCTGCACACGATCACAGACTTGGTGTTAAACAGAGCAAAACATGAATGTATGCGAGTTACTGTTCATCTGTCTGTGTGTGTTTTACCTCATAACTCTCTCGAACAGCAGACGAGTGTCTGCTGGGACTCAAGCTCTGCAGCGCCAGCAGGTGGAGCTGTGGATATGGATAATTCCTTATCTCATGGACAACCTACAGGAAACACAACATACATGTCTGTCTTAAACATTGCAGACCACATTCAACACTTGCACTTACTATAAAAGACTTCCAAATAAAGAAAAAAATCTATAAATAAAACAAATGTAATACTTTATATATACACTATATTTGCATATAATGTGATATATTTATATATACACTCACCAACAATTCTGTGTTTTTCTGTCAATATGGGGTGCTGTGTGTACATTAATGAGGAAAAAAAATTAACTTAAATGATTTTAGCAAATGGCTGCAATATAACAAAGAGTGAAAAATTTAAGGGGGTCTGAATACTTTCCGTACCCACTGTATATAGACACACACACACATACTCACCACTTGGGTGGAGGAGGTGTTTCTGGGGAGGTGGTGCATTCTGGGAGAGGCCAGGTAATGCTGGTAGGGTTGAGGGATCTGCTGCAGAGGATACTGATACGGCACTCCTGCGTCCACGCTTAGGTCCCTAAAAGCACACATTTTCATTTTAATAAAAGCAATTTAAAAACAACATCAGGCGCAGGAAATTTATGTACTGTATTTTATTTTTTTTCCAAATGTTGACCAAGATCATTCCCAAATATTAAGGAAGTTTATTTGCTATGGAAGCTTACTTCTGCCATAGAATAC